AGCGACCTCCTTTTGGTGTCAGTCCTGTCCAGCAGCCACCTGGAGTATTATCAGACACTTCTTTAAATCGCTCATTCTCTGTTACTTAGTTTGAAAAGGAAAAAGTTAAATAACAGAAAAGGAAAGGCAGTAGTGCTCATTTGAAGTCCAAGGTAACCCTAATACAACACCGTGCAAGTAAAATTTGTAACTTTCAACCCCGCACCAGTGCTCGCCGGCGCTCTGGGTCTGGGGCCTCTTTTCAGGCTGCCAGAGACAGGACAGTTCCACCAACCTCAAGCTCCCTGCCGGGGAGACAGGAAGGCTGGCAGGTGAACTTAAAATCACAGATTCCAGGGAAGCGGCACCCGGTCTCTGAGGCCTTTCCTGTGCCACGCTCTGTTCTGAGCAGTTTGCAAACACTGGCCCATTTACTCACTGCCGCCGCCCTGCTTTGTTACTGTTTCTGATTTTACAGAGGAGGGATCTGAGGCCCAGAGAGGTTAGCAACTTGCCCAGGGCCACAGAGCGGGAGCGTTGAAACGGAGAGCTGGATTTGAACCCAGACCCTGCTGCAAGGGTGGCCCCTGGGCCTCTTGCACCCAGAGCTGCGCAGAGCGGGAAGTCAGTGCTGCAGCGCGCAGGGGCCCCGGCCCTCACGGTTCTGACCCGGGACCTCACGTTTCTGCCCCGGGAGGCTCAGGCTCGGCAGGGAGTCGTCCTGAGTCAGCCTCTGAGACTTCTCTGGCGTGCTTGGACACCAGCCATGGGGTAGTGGGGCACTCGATGGGGGACGGAGCAGGCATCGCCCTCTCTCTCTTTGCTGCTTTCATTCCACTTTTCAGATAAGGACGCAGGCTGGGAGGTGAACTTTGCTCCTCTCTTCCTTTCCTTTCCTTTCTGGTTTGAAAAAGCCAGTCAAGAGCGACGGTCAAAGTATCTGTGCGCCCGGTCTCTGGAAAGACCATGAGGCGGACACCGCAAATGTGGTTGTCCTGGCTCTCAGAATAAGACTGGGATTCTTTGGAGGTGGGGTGTGCTGGTTTTGCTGCTCTGCAGAGGTGGACAGGGCTCTGCAGGTGTGGGCGTGGCTCTGCAGAGGTGGACAGGGCTCTGCAGGTGTGGGCGTGGCTCTGCAGAGGTGGACAGGGCTCTGCAGGTGTGGGCGTGGCTCTGCAGAGGTGGACAGGGCTCTGCAGGTGTGGGCGTGGCTCTGCAGAGGTGGACAGGGCTCTGCAGGTGTGGGCGTGGCTCTGCAGAGGTGGACAGGGCTCTGCAGGTGTGGGCGTGGCAGGGCCCTGCAGGTGTGGGCGTGGCTCTGCAGAGGTGGACAGGGCTCTGCAGGTGTGGACATGATCCCCAGATGTGATGGGCTCCGCAGATGTAGACAGGTTGTGCAGCTGTGGATGGGCTCTGCAGACGTGGGTGTGAACTTCGTGGACATGAACTTGCAGACGTGGATGTGGGTTTTACCTGGTCCCTCCAGCTGGGAGGTGGGGGACAGGCTCAGGAGGGCTGAGACTGTGAAGGTGCCTGTCCAGGCGTCTAGCCACGGTCAGAGCTAGAGCAGTGGCCAGGCTGGCCAGGCAGCTTCTAGGGCAGGTTGGGATAAATCCTGGCCCCAGGATGGAGCTGAAGCTGGGAACGGAGCAGAGGACCCAGAGGGGGCTGCTCCACAGGTGGGGAAACAACCGTGTTACAGCTGGGCTTGTTCTTCAGGGGTGCGTTTGGCAAACGCCGCACCTCCCGGTGAGGAATAAACACCCCAGCTTCTACCATCAGCTGAGCCCTTCCGGGTGGGTAGCCCCTATGCTGAGAGCCCTCTCTGAGGACTGGGGCATCCTCCTGGGGAGGGGCACTATAGCATCCCATTTCTCAGATGAGGAAACTGAGGCTGAGGGAGCTGACCTACTCGGCCTAGAGCTGCCGTCCCGGGACTGCGTCTGTCTGACTCCAAAGCTGTGCTCTTAAAAAGTAGCTCTGGACACGGAGCACTTGGTGGGGCAGTACTCCGAATGCACAGGCCAGGTGGGGAAGGGGCCCTTCTGCTCAGCGCCCTGCAGGCCCTCACAGGGGAGCTCCTTCACTTACAGGGTCTGCACCGTGGTAGCGGCACTTAGAGACAGGGTCCTTTGTCCACCGAGACTCCTCGTGCTTTTCCTTTATTTTCTTCTTTTTAAGGCGAAGCCCACTCTTTAGCTAGACTGGGTAGCTGTCCACCGGGGCCCACCCCCAGGGAAGCATGGGTTCTCCTGCTTGGGGAGCCTCAGAAGTAGGAATCGGGCATTTACTGCTCGCAGGCACGGAGTGGGAGGGCCGGAAGCAAATCGCAGCTTTTGTGAAATCTGCCCCACTTCGGCCACTGCTACCTGGCTGAGTCTGCTCAGTAGTGACTTGTCCTTTTGTCCTTGGTGGTTTGTGCGGGGCGGAGTCCCTCCCCGTGGCTGTGGCTGTGGGCAAGTTGGAGCCCTGAGCCCAGGAACCCCAAGCCCAGGAGTCCTGGAGTCCATCGCCTGGAGGCGGTCCCTGGCCGGAACCGGGACTCAGAGGCGGTCCGACACGCGGCACGGTCCCTGCAGGGCTCTCGCGCGCCCCCGCGTGGCCGCAGGCGGCAGTGCTGCTTCGTCAAGCGGGTTTTGCGGGCGGGAGGGCGAGAGGCGTGGGATGGGACTGGGCTTGGGCTGGGAACCGACTTGCGCTGGAGCTGTGAACCTGGGCCAAGGCTGGGCTGGCGCTGCTGGGGATGAACTGGGAGCGAGCCCTTCGGGGTCCGGTAGGTCATCCCAGTCAGGGCAGGCTCAGGACCTGCGGACGCATCCCCAGGCTTCCTGGAAGTGCAGACGCCAGGTGTGAGTGGAGAGATGGTGGGCGGTGAGGTGCAGAGGGGAGCGAGTCCTGGCAACAGGCCGGGCAGAGTGGGGAGGCTGCGGAAGGCACTCGGGGCCCAGTGGGATCCGGCTGTGAAGCCTACCCGGTTGGAGAGGGGGACCCTTCTTCCAGGGCTGGGGCCCTTCCCTAGCCCTGCTGGGAGCACCTGAGCCCAGGAGAGAGAGGAGCGACCTGGCTCCTTCCTGCTGTCTGTGAGGGGCTCTGCCTGGTTGCAGCCAGCTGGGGAGCCATGCTCACCCTCTGCCTGGCGGGAGTGTCAGGCATGACCTCTGGGCAAAGAAAGAGCTGAGATGGCAGCCCTGGCCCCAGACGGTGGCCTCCAGCCTTGCCGAGCGGGTGATGGCCACTGCGGGTCTTGCCCAGCTCTGTTCAGTGACCCCACGCTGCAGTTTGAAACCGGCTGAGGTGGGCGTGTTTCCACCAGAGAAATGGGCAAGGGCTGGATGCGGGCTGTCGTTCTGGCCTAGAGACCCATCGTGCTAGCCCCCGGCGTGGAGGTCCCGGAGGGCCGGCCGCGCCTTGGTCTGGGTGGAGAGCGGTGGCTGTAGACGTGGGTGGTAGGTCCCGGGGCTTTGGGAATCTTGCCGCACCCTGGCCTGTGCTGGAAGACTGCTCCGGGGGTCCCCAGAAGCCTCCAGAGGCTGGCACAGGACCCTGGTTTCAGAGGCCAGCGTGCAGACACAGCTCTGTGGCCCTGGTGCCCTTGGACCGCCTGGCTGAGCTGCCGTCCGGCATCCTGTTATGGGAGCACCTTCCGGGTCACTTCCAGCGCTGACCTTGGCCGTGGGTGGACACTTCTCTCCCCCAGCCGTGTCGCCACACCCTCTCCTTTGGATTCCTGGAGGAAGGGCTCCTGGCTTCCCTCCCGCGCCCTGCCAGGCCTTCTCAGTGAGGGGAGCAATCACCCCTCTATTCCCGGTCGGCCTGAGATGCCATCAGTGCGCTGCCCAGTCCCGGGACTCGCCCGTACCACCCGAGGCCAGCAGTGGCTTCAGGCGGGACATCGTGGGCACCCAGGACTGACCACATCGTAGACAGCTGCTGACAGGCTCCCGTCTCTCACATCTCGCCCGGGGCCCCGCACCTCCCTGTTGCTCGGACCCACGCTTGTCTGTTTTCTCCTGTACTGTCTGTCACACAGTCTGTGTGCCTTCAAGGGACCCCAGCTCTACCCACTGGGCTCAGCCTCCACTCCTGGCACGGAATGTCCTGCCTCCACTTCCCTGCTGGCCCCCGACCGGCCACTGGCCACTCCCATTTCCGTGCTCGTCCACACTGGCCCGTGCCCTGGCCCGTGTAACCCTGTCTGGGCTCCCTGCCACACATAACCATGGTGGCAAACTCCTGTCACATGTCACTGCTGCCCTCATGTACCCACCTCCAGTCTCCTTTCCCACAGCCCCCTGAGCCAGTCCCGTCGAGGGCCTTTCTCTGGCATGGAGTGCAGAGAGGGGCTCCCTTCTCACCATTCAGGTCCCACCCCAAGTCTATGTCCTCAGAGGGGCCATTCCAGCCAGGTGACATAGGATGTAGCCCGGCCGTCCCTGTGCAGCCCAGCCTTTCTCTGCCACCGTCAGCAGTGGGGCTGCCCTGCAAGCTGACCTGTTATCCCACGGCCCCAGGTGACAGACTCCAGAGTGCAGGCCAGGCCCTCGGGCTCACCGAGCACTGCTGCCTAGCTAGTTCCCAGCAGGTATCTCAGCAGGCCCCCCTTCTGCTCTGGCAGAGGCTGTGGCTCCCCGGGACTGAGAAACAAGGAGGGCTGGCCTTGGCCGCTAGATGGTCCCAGGGGCCGCCCTGCAGCTGTCCTCCCAGCCCCAGCCCCCACGGTGCCTTCTGAGTTCTCCAGTGGGCACAGGGACCCGGCAGTAAAGTGGTGTTGCCTGGTGCACCTGCACCGTCTGCTTTGGAAAGACTCCCCAGGCCCAGGTGAGAGGGAGGCCGGAAGGTCTGCCTGGAGCCTAAGGGCCGATTCTGCCAGTGGTAGCAAGGCCAGTGGCAGTCACTGTCCGGGCAGGGTGGGGCTCCCTTCTGGCCACCCAGGTCCCTGCGGGGTGCCAGGCTGCAGGAACAGGGAGCAGGCATCCCCCCCTTCCGAGCCTCCCCGGCCTCTGACCTCGTGTGGTGAGGCTCTACGCGATCTTGGCCAGCAGAACCACAGCCCCCAGCAGTCCCATCACCAGGGAGGGCCGGCCACTCGGGAGACGTGCAGACCCTAAGGACAGTTGGGAGACCCAGTGTCACCCTTGGGTTGGCTCAGGCGTTCCCTGCCTGTGCTATGAGCCCCCCACTTTCTCTCTCCCCACCGTCCTGGTCCACCTGCCCAGGCCCAGCACGGCCCCTCGCTGCCCTGCTCCGTGGCCCACCCCTCTCAGCCCAGCCCCTACAGAACTCTCCACTCCTCAGCTTCCAGGTGGCCTTCGTCCCCGAGATGGGTCAGGGTGAGGGCAATGGGGGTGGGGGCCTGGAAGAGGATGAGTCTAGGCAGGAGACCCTCAGGTGGCCGTGCTGGAGAGAGGGGTGTGCCAGTGCAGGTGCCGGGGGCAGACCACTCCTCCAGCCCCCTACCAGGCGCTGCTGGTCCCTGCCTTCTCCCCCAACCCCGTGCACTGCTCAAGACACACAGGGCACTGCAGGTGGGCAGGTGTTGGGGCTGTGAGTGGTTCACGCTGCCCCAGAAATGGCGCGGGGCGGGGAAGGCAGCCAGCTGCAGGCTCCCTCACCTGCACGGAGCATGGGCAGCAGGGTGTCGGGGTGCCCGTCGTTGGGCTCGGGCACGATGCCCAGCAGCCGGCACATCAGCTCGTACACCTCGACGCTCTCGAAGGGCTCCGTCTCCAGGCCCACCTTGAAGCTGGGGCCCACGGCCCGGAAGATGGTCTTCATGTCCATGACTCCGTTGTCGAAGCCGTGCTCCCCGTTATTGAACTGGACGTTGATTCTCTGCCGGCACAGGTGGGTCCTTGTTGGGGCGGCCGGCACCCCTGGCCACCGCGCTCGCCACAGGGGAGGGGTTCTGAGACCCAGAGTGAGCACCCTGCTAAAGGGCCGGTGAGGCAGACGGAGACCCTGGGGCTGCATGCCGCATCCCTCCGGGCTGTCGGGCACGTGTGTCCTCTGCCTACCTGCCCGTGCCTTCCCGATCCGTGTCCCTGCCTCTGCTCGTCGAGAGATCAGTGTGACGCTCTTGCCCCCTCTTCCACGCCATCCTCAGGGCTGACTTCCCACACCTTACCCTGCACTCCCACACATGTGCTTGTCCCCTAGCCATGGGTGTGTCCCTCTGGCGACTTAAACTGGAGATGCATTTCATAGATGTGGAGAGGCCCCCAGCCCAGGGCGGGAGCCCTCCCGGAGCTGGCAGGTGACTCACCCCGTGGATGACGTAGCCAGGGTCACTGTACATGAGCAGGGGCGTGATCCTGGGGTGGCTGGCATAGTGGAAGGACTTGGGGAACTCCTCCTTCTTGTAGACATGGAGCCTGGGGTGCGCGTCCTTCAGGGCGTCATACACCCTCTCCAGCGCGCCCTCCTTGGGGAGCAGCATGCCGCTCGGCCCATAGTCCAGCAGCTCGAACGCGATGTCCTGGAAGGTGAAGTTGGGGAACTTGTGGAACTCGATCAGGTCGCTGGCTTGCTTGTTGACGGTGGTCATGCCGTGGTCGGACGTGATGATCAGGTTGAGGCTGTGCGTGAGGCCGTGGCTCTCGATGCTGGCGCGGAGGTAGCCCACGGTCCTGTCCACCTGCTGCACCATCGCCTTCCTCTCCTGCGACTCGGGGCCGTACCTGTGGCCCGTGGAGTCCGGCTCCCCGAAGTAGAGCGTGACCAGGTCCAGGTCCTCCGTGGTGAACCAGCGCATCACGGTGTCGATGTTGGCCCTCCACTCCTGCTCGTTCTTGTAGTCATGCAGGACGCCTTCCTTCCGGCTCAGCGTCACAGCCTCCCCTTGGTAGGTGACGTTCCCCCCGGGGTAGAAGAAGGAGCCGGTCTTTAAGCCCTGCCAGGGCAAAGGAGTGGCGTTGAAGCCGCAGGGCTGCCTGTCCCAGGCCCGTGGGGACGTTCTGCCCCTGCCCCCGACCCGCGCAGCCTCACTCCTGACTGCAGTATGGAGACTTTGGCTTCCAGAAATCTCTCCTACTCACGTGATCAGGAGCAAAACCGATGTCCCAGAGGACAGGCACGGTGGTCAGTGGCCAGAAGTGTCCTTAACCGTGTGGCATCCTGGTCATCACTCTAGGTCCCCGGCTTGAGGCCAGCTGCCTGGGCAGGCCTCCGCTCTGACCTGCACCCTGCCCTCTCTCGTCCAGGTGTGTGTGTTCACCCACGTCCCACCCGCTGCCCGTCCAGCTCCAACCTGACCATCCGTCTTTCTGGAAACCTGGCCCGCGAGCCCGTCTGGCCTTCCATCCACCCCTCTGTCCGTGCCCCTGCACCATCGGCTCCCCTGCCACTCCGTGTGGCCCGAGCGCTGCAAGACGATGAGTCCCCGCCCTGGCTTTGGGCTCCTGGCGGGCCGCATGATCCTTTCGGAGCGAGCAGTCTCAGGCTTACTCTAGGCCTGCCCTGAAAGCCCCCACTGACTCAGGTGACCACAGCCTCACTTCCAGGGCCACGAAGCGCCCAAGCACTGTGGGGACGGGGGATTCCGGGGCTCAGCACTGTACTCCAGCTATTTTTTTTTTAAGAATTATTTTATTTTATTAATTATTACTATTATAATTTTTAATTTGCTTTAGGTCATGTGTGCTCACGAGAGAGAGAGAGAAAGAGAGAGCGAGCGAGTGAGAGAGAGAGGAAGTGAGAAAAACTCCACCAGGTCTAGGACTCAAACAGCGGTTGGCCGTGTGGGAGGCCAGTACCTCAGTCACCATGCCACCTGCTGGCCCCTCCGTCCCCACTCTTAGGCTGTCTTCTGCCCTTTAGAATTTAGCTGCCCAGCCCTAAGGGGCCTGGAGCAGGAACGGCTGTTTATGACTGAGTACTTCCTTGCTGAGTCATGGCTTTCTGTGCGGCCTCCTCTCCCCCTGGGTGTTCGAGGGCCTCGAGTGCAGTTTTCCCTCCTTTTGGGATCAGAGCTGTCCCCTGTGGTCCCAGGGCTCCAGGGACGCAGGGTTGTGTCCACAGCCGAGCCAGGATGGAGCCCTGGTCGTCCTCGGCATCACCACCCCCCTCTCGGGACACTACCTGCCACTCTTCTGTGCCTGAGGCAGAAGCCCCGGGGCCCCAGGTGGAGAGTGGGGTGCCGTGGGGCTCACTGGTCACAGCCTCGTCCAGGCCGCAGCCCCTGGCATCCACGCGTGGGCAGCATTACCTGCCTCTGGGCGGTGATCCAGATGGGCACCGTGCCGTTGTCCCACCACCGCTGGATGCCCAGCGTGGCGTGGTAGGGCAGCTTCACCTTGCTGGTGGTGTTGTAGAACATGTTGTGCACCACGCCGTGGTTCTCGATGTACCTGCCTGGGGAGAGGGCGCGGAGGTGGGCGGGCAGGGGAGGAAGCGGGTGGAGGGAAGGGGCCAGACG